ATTGCACTCTCAACGTGGCATAATTTACTCCATTCAGTGGCTTGCTTTGATTCTCTTACTATGTTCCAAATAACCCAATTTATGCCAGGCTCCTCAAACCAATAAAAACTTCTTTCACAAACTGCAAATTCTAAATGACTGCTTGACCCACAGCTTGCTAAATTACTTGTTCATTTCGGTCATACATCTAACATCAAAATTAATTCATAACACATTAAAAGGAACCAGCAAAGTCCACACCTGATGAAAAGATTCAGTGAACAGCAACTCTACATAACTCTTCAGAATAAAATTAAAAATGTTCATTAAAAACATAAAATATCGAAATATTAATAAATTCTATAGTTTTCTTAATTTGTGAAATGTCTTTAATATTTTATGATACCTAAACTGATTATAAGAAAATCATTCTATTCCTACATATTAGAAAAAAGGACACCATTTTGTTTACTTTCTCTTCTTAATGGTCAGAATATTTTTCAATATCCTCCCAAATATTACTATTTCTTAAAAAAAAAAAAAAAAACCTCACTAACTTTACCCATTGCAAACGTTTTGGGTTTTCTCCATTTTTCTCTTAACATATAATTTGAGATGTTGAATAAATTTGCTAAAATAGCCACAAGCTTAATGCACTTCCATAAAGTTCCATGGAAAGCATTGCATCAGTCTTTTCAACAATGTCATATGGCATGTTTATTGATAAAATATAAAGTCTGTCTATATTTCTGAGATGAGCTATTGTAATTATTTGCATTATTTACATTCAGACTGTTGTCCTCATCTTTATTGCCATATTCACAATGCATTGGCCATTGTACACTCCAGCCTCCTTAAAGTGATTGGAATTTTGAACTGAACCCTTTATTTCGTCCACCAAGGTAGCTTGTTCTAGTTCCACATGCCTTGCCTCTTCCAGATGTCTCAGTTATCTCCCTTTAAAACAACTCTCCAAGATTTGTTCACCACTGCAGTAGCGAGGTATGAATTTTTGGGACCTATAAACTTAATGTCTTAGTAATTATTTTTTACCAAAGCTCATGCTGCAATTTTGTTGGTATTATTGCTTTTCTCTAGTAATACATATTCCTGGTCCTCATATAGTATTCATTTTTATGCTTGGTCAGCTTAGATTTTTGTTGCCTAAATTATGTGCTGATTCCTTTAGTTTTCGTATTTTTCTGTGAAGTTCTTTATTATTCATACATTCCCAAGGACAAATGTCCCAGTGGATAAAAGTATTAGTTGGATCCAGTGACTTGATGCAAAGAGTTGTGAGTTCACTATCTGGCTACTGCAGTGGTGAACAAAATGCTGGATAGTTGACTTAAAAGGGAGATAACTGAGACATCTGGAAGAGGCATGGCATGTGAAACTAGAACAAGGGTCCAGTTCAAAATTCCAATCACCTGAAGAAGGCTGGAGCATACAACAGCTGAAACATGAATATGGCAAAGATGAGGACAGTAATGTAAATATATATATATATATATATATATATATATATATATATATATATATATATATATATATATAACCAACAATTACTATTCTTAAAGAGTGCTCAATACAAAGTAGAGCAGATACAATTATTTTTTTAAAAAAAAATTTATAACATAAATATGTTATAAAATCACTACAAAAATAGCCATTTTGTTTCAACACCCTCGGTGTCTTATCAAGTGATGATGTTGAAGATAAAATAAATGGTTTTAAAAGTTTCAAATTAATTGGTGATCCTTCGCTAGGGGAAAACATTGTTACAAAAGCTAGAATGACCAATCAAAATATAGGAAGATTCAAAAGCTTGACAATGAAATCATGTTATAATAGCTATTCAGATCTTTAGAATACGGGTAATATCAAAAAGAATTTATTCTAACCAATAATTATTAAATTATATAATAAAATTTGATATTAAAATTAAAAACTGCCAATTTTAAAATACAAACTTAATCACTATTAAGTTTAAAAACTATAAAATTACTGAGAAAATGAAAAAAATACATGTTATTCAATTTATTTCTTCGTTGAAATTACGTTCAACCAGACACTACAATATCCGGTCATTACGTTCAATCAGATGCTACAATATCCGGTTTTTAAATCTTTTTTTTTATCTATATATATATATATATATATAAAAACTGACTCTGTGTGTGTGTGTGTGTGTGTGAACTACTCGAGAACCATAAGGCATATTTCCACCAAATTTGGAGCATAAATTGTACTCGATACTGGGTGTGTCTGGGCAAAAGAATTAGTCATTTTTCAAAAATGAATAACTGATAATCGATAAATATAATGTTTAAATGGGAATTCCCATTAGTTTGGTTGTTTTTAAACTTTCAGACCTGAAGTCTAAACCCTAAGCCTGATTCTAATGAAACTTGATAAGTGTATGCAACTTACTTTCACGCTTATTATACGCTATATTGATTTTCGTTTCTCTTGATACTGGGACCCCCAGGGTGCACCAAAGGGACCAAAAAAAATTCAAATTGCTTCGATTTTGAAATTTTGCATGTTTATTACGCTCTTACAATGAGATAGAAATCAGCTGTCAGATTTTTTTTAAATGCATGAGGGGGCCCCAAGGATGACCCTATAAACCCCTTGATGTCTCAGTTGCTTTTCAAGTGTATTTTGTAGCAGTATTCCCTAATTTCAACGAAAATTTCAGTACATATTGAGATTATATCGACTAACTGAAGTAGTCACTTGGAATTCACTGAAAATCAACACTGGGACCCCCACGAGTTAGGGGACCAGCAGGGAACCCCGAAATTTTCAATTAAGTCTACAGTCTTGGCCATAAAGTCGATTAAATAGAAAGCTTAAAGATGTGCTTTATTATTTCAATTACTATTAGTCTTAAACCTGTCCTTTGGCTTGAAATTTGGGACCCCCAAATTTTCAGATTGCTTCAATTTCAACGGAATTTTGCATGTATGTTACAATCTTAAAATGAATCAAAAACGATTATCAGATTTTGAAAACTATATAAAGGGACCCCAAGATGACCCATGAACACCTTGCTGCCCCATTAGTCTTTCAATTGTAGTGGTTAGCAGCATTCCGATGAAAATTTGCACATAATTTGTGTTTAGATCAATCGACTCAAAATCAAAACTGAGACCCCATGTGTCATAAATACATTCTGAAAAATATCAGTTTTTCCCATGGATTTCTCGTTTTGGTACTGAAATAGTTTAGTTTGCATTAACTTGACAGCAAAAATTATATCCTTCCTTAAGAAAAAAAAAAAAAAACAAGTGCAAACAAAAGTGTACACCGATGAGAGAAGTGCATGTAGGTATAAGACGCATGTGCGAGATTGATCGAGATGTGTAGTGTGTACAATTGGTTTTGCTCCACATGCAATGATTGATCAAGTTATGTAGTGTGTACTATCGATTTTGCTTCACGCGTAGTGTTCATTAGTGCTATGTGATGAAATAAATGCAAAAAATCTCATTCGCATCAAAGTTGTCATCCAGTAAAAAGGTAGGCTGCCTTCATTAAATTTAAATTTGTGGAAATCATATTAAAAATGTTTAAGCGTAAATGCCAATTTTTAATTATGTATTTATCATCTTCTAATCAGTGTTTAAATGCTTACTAACTCATATATTTGGAAACTTGAGCCCTAAAATTTTGACAGTTTATTATAAGTGCATTTTTCAGAATTAATGTAAAGACCCTCTTTCAATTCATTTATAATTATGCTAAACTTAGCGTGTACATTTTAACATTCATAGTGAGTAGGTTTCTAGCTGCACGTTAATTTTTATTTTTATCACTGGAACGTTTTTTTTTGGTAGTCTATTTTTAGATAAATCCTAAGTTTACAAGCTTGCATATAATCGTTTACCACATTCCCGTGGTCTCCCTTATAAACTTGCATTTAATTTATTGTCTATATTTCCATTAATGTGAATAATATTCTTGCTTTTTAATTGATTACTTCATTGTTATTCAAAAAGCTTAGCCAAACCCCTCCAACTACAGCCTGACAGTAATGCCAAGAAAGCGAAATCCTTCACTTGGACATGCTACTACTACAGCCAAATGCATGAAAGCATGGAGAAGAAACGCTTCACAACAAGAAACTCAAATTAAACTGACACAAAATGCTATTCGTACAGCTAATGCAAGGTCAGCAGAAACTAATGAGCAATGGTCAACTAAATGAGGAAGGAACGCTGCCAGAACTCCTGCTACTCGAGCTGTCAAAACTGAGCGGCAAAGAACAATTCTATACAGTCTTTGTGAACGTTGGTTTTCAGCCTTGGCATGGCTGCTAGGAGAAGTCTTGGTAGAATTTCTTCTCCTTCCACTGCATGTTGTTCATTCGATGTAGTTTGAGCAAAAGCTGTCAAAGCATTTCTCTTCAACAATTTTCAAAGATCGATTGCAATTAATGTACTCTTTATTTGCTGACAAATTTTTTTGTATCTTCTGCGCTTCTGTAAAAAAACAACATTTTCCTGTTATAAATGTTTTCACACTTCATGTCATCATAATTTTTCATCATATAAATAAGAGGCACTAAAGAAAAATCTTATTTTAACTTTACAGATTGGATGAGGTTCATGATCTTTTTTTTAATAAAACCAGGCAACGCCGGGTAATGCTGCTAGTAAGCTATAAAGTCGTTAACCTTTAGCATAATTAATATTACTTCCCTTTCCACTGCATTCTTTTTCAAGACCTCTCAATTGCACTAATCTTATTGTTAATTTCACTTGGTTGTTTTCTGTTGCCATAGTAGGATATGACAATATAAAGTTCAAACACATTATTGTTCAGGGATCAGTCATCTTTATTGGCAGGATAAACTTGTTGCACAGAAAATGAATTCATTCATATACAGAGTGATAAAGGTTAATTGTATTATCTCCTATTTAATTTAATTTAATAACATAAGGGGTGAAAAGGCCTTCAAATGATAACTCAATATTTTAAGTTTCAATGACATTTTCTCCTTTGTTTTTCAGTACTGGATTTGGTGGTACTGGCCAAACATCAGTTTCAACTGGTAAGATTTTTTTTTTTTTTTTTTTTTTTTTTTTAATGAAACTTGATGTAATGTTTTGATACTAAAAACAAAAGATGTTCAGTCATTGAGAGACTGATGAGTACACATATCATTCAGAATATATCCATTTATGGATATTTTCATTTTAACCAGCAATAAAAAAGAAATTGAAAAACTTAAAGCTACATTTGAAAAAAAAAAACAAAAAAAAAAACTCCATTCTAAAATTTTAGCAATAATAACAAAATTCTATTCAGTGTTGTAGAACCCAATAGCAATACATACTACTTCACTATACAAGAAACCCACAAATAAAAACTCCTGCCATCTCAATTATAATAGCGAATATCCACTTAAATACAAAATAGCAATAATAAACTAAATTTCTAACGTGAGTAATTGTGATTTCATATCCATGCACGTTATTTCTTAAAGAACTCAGTAACATAAAAGAAAGGCTAGTCAATAATGATTTTTCCCAACTACATTATAGATGACCAAATCAAATTATTTCTTTCAAAAATAAGCAATAATAACAAAAGTTCAGAGATATTAATATTAATATATTTTATCAAAACCATAAATTAGAAACAGAACAAATTCACTCTAAGGAATATTATAAAAAATTCATCACTCCAATTAAACAAACTAAAAATATCAAGTTAATTATTTATAACAAAAATTTCAAAACAATCGACCAATCAGCAATAATAATTCCCCAACAAAATCAAAACTATATAAAACCAACCATATTTATGAATTCCTTCCCAATAAAAACAAACTCATAAATAATTATATCTGACTTATAACCACTCATATATTAAGATGCTGACCCTACATCTCTCAGATCAGAGCTCCATAAGGGCCCATTACCAGCATAAAATATATCAGCTTTGATATGCAACATAATTGTTGAGAACTCATGTGATACACACTTCCAACAGCAAAAAGCATCTAAAAATAATTGAACCTTTTATCGTAATAAACAGTCTATAACAATATCAACTATGAACATAGCCACAATGTATTGGCTGTATTTTAGAACTAAGAATAAATCTACCTTTCAGCAACTTGTATACCATTTACAATAGCACAACCCAAATCTTTAAACTGATTAAATTACAGCACTCAAACTGAACAATCATTGAGACAATTACTACATTCACAGGTGCAAAAGGATCTTGTTTGCATACAAGAAAAACATAAAAGAAAATGTAGTGAAAGTACTTTGTCACTCATTTTTAATGAAACGTGTATTAGAGAGGCATTGCCACCTAAATGCAAAACTATATATACACAATGTGTGGGTATTTATGTATTGTTTTTGTTAGCGATCTCAAAAACTCTTGGTGCTGAGTTTTGGGAATGTTGATGGAAAATCAATCTGTAGAGAAAAATGATATTTGTAAGGTATTTGAGGAAATGAGGGTTGACAATGGAATCTTGAAATGGGCTCTTAGAAAAACAAGTAAAATAAATTAATCTAAATTCATCCAAATAAACAAACTAATAAATTATTAAATTAACCATTAGAAAAAAAAACTAAAAAACAAAATAAAGATAATCGATCCAAATAAATACACAAAGTAATAAACAAATTAAAAACTGTTCCCGCCAAAATAATAGAATAAACTACAACAATCAACCCCAAAATTGAATAAATAGCTTTAATTATCTTCCATAAAAACACTGATTAAAATAAAAATAAATATATAAGATAAGAAATAAAAATAATAAAAATAAAAAAATACATATATAAGATAGGAAGTAAAAATAATGACTGGCAACATAATTTAACCCAAATAAATAAACAAATAAACAACTTCTGGTAAAATAACCACCAAAATAGACTACCCACAATGCACCACTGACCCGTATATATAAATAGCCGAGAAAAATAACAGCACTCATGGCCTGACAATTGCATCCAGCATGAAACAGACTGTCGCCTCTAAGTGTTGCCTTCTATGTTCACTTTTATATTTACCCACGCTCTCTCTGATATTGAGCACTTTATCCCATAAATATAGCACACCTTAAGACTATATTTCTTGTGTATGTGTGCATATATATATATATATATATATATATGGAACACATTCAAGTTCTCCTACACTGTAAGCATGTCAAACTTCCTGGTGTATTTGGATGCTTCTGGCCTTAATGGATTAATATATTTTCTCAAATTAAAGGGAATACAGTTATGGTTTGGTTTGATTTATGACATATCAACCTCAATGGGTTATTTAATGTCAACAAGATTTTTGCTATAGATTCATATGAATAGACTATTCTTTGTAAGAAATTGCTTTGTAGATCAGGTTTCATTGACATATTTTTGTAAAGAGAATTTTTGAGTATTGTTGCACTGATGTGTTTTTGGAGAGTTTGTAGAGAAATTGACATTCTCATTTCATTTATATTTTTTTGCAGAGACTGTTTGAAGAAATTATATTAGGTCATCCATGTTTTGCTTTCTCAAAGAGCTCATACATGTTGTTTATATTATAGCATTTTTGTCTTGAAAGAGCAAGGTCTGAACATTTGGTTATTATATGTTTAATAGTGTATGCAGTTTCACATGGTTGACATACTGGTTGATCTTCATTGTAAGTATAAGTGGATTATTCTCATGTGGCCAATGCATAAGCAGGCCAGTACTACTTCCTTTTATGATTTTCTGAAAACTGACTTCCATTCTCCTATTGGGCTGAATTGTAAAGAGCTTATTGTGTAGATTATCATCCCAGCACTGTTGCCATTCCTTTTAAATGTATTTATTAATGACCTCCTTAAAGTCAGTGTATGGGATTTCAGTTGTTGAATATACATCCATATCTAAAGCTGATTTGACTGTTAGGTGTGTGTTATTGTTACCTTCCACTCCGATGTGGCTAGGAATCCAACATCGTTTGATGTCTTTGCAAGTAATACTTATTTTGCATAGTTTGATAACGAGTGAGCTTTTGAATTTTTTTTCCTTCAAAGCCCTTAGGATGGATAGTGAGTTTGAAAAAAAATTAAGAAATTTTTTTTGTTTGTTCTGTGTAATGATATTGAGAGCTAGCACCATTGCATAAGTCTCTGCAGTAAAAATAGCACTTCCCTTTGGAAAGTACTTTTATTTGTAATATTGTGGCTCACTGCTGCACATCCTGTCTTGTCCTCACACTTGACCTGTCTCTATAGATGGGTGTATGTTTAGGATAGTTTTCCAATATGCCCTGAAACTTGTTCCGGAATGTAGGTTGGTGTGTAAAAAATGCACCCACTCACATTCCAGGACAAGGTTTAGGGAGTTTTTAACCTTTAGCATGCTAAATTCTTTCTAAAATTGTTCCCCCTGCCATTGCATATTTTTTTTAGGATGCAAAAACCTGAACACTTACTGTTTTTAAAATTGTTATAACTTTCTTTGTATTGTGTGTATAGATTTTATTTTTTGTATACTAATAAAAGAATGAATGAGTAATATTTTGATGTAATGCATTACGTTTTGCATGCAGGTTTTGACATTGAAAACAAAAAAAATTGAAACACAAAATAAAAAACAAATACATTGACAATTTAACATACTTTAGCTTTCCTTGTGGAGTTCTGCTGAGGTGCAATAAGAAGCAAAATAGCTAAGAAGGCCTTCATTTCGTCAAAAAAAGTGATGTGCTTCATAGTGTTTATATACAAGAAGGTACCAACATTTGTTTGGTCGTTCACCTGATTAGCATATTGATTTGTCTCGTTGACAAATAAAGTTATTACTTTGTTGTTTATAAATAGACAAAATAATTCACCTTCAGAAAGGCTATTGGTGCATCGATGGTCGTCAGTAGCTTCCATAAAATTAGTCAGCCATGGGTGATAATAGCTACTAGTGGTCGTCATCATTTCCCTCTGTCGCTAGCGTGCTTATCATATTCAACCACTTCACCATCAATATCGGAGTCCAAATACAAAAAAAAACTTCTGAAAGGTTTTGTTGGATGTTGATGCAGCCATTTTTTTTGTTTACAAAATTCAAAAAAATTAATGTGGGTTTATTCGATGTTACACCTCATGTAGAGTCTAGAAAAATTTAAAATGCCATCAGAAAACTGAAGTTTAGCCTCATTCCAAAACAGTACTAGGCAATTTCCAGCTTAAAATGCCAGAAATAATAGTTGACAAGTGTTTCTTTATAGCAACTGTCTCAAGGCGACAGAATGCGCCTAGAGCTGCAAAGGGAGAGAATTCCATGGCGACAATTTTCGCCTCCAGCGTGGTAAATGTTAATTTGAGTTGCTTGATTGTCCATGGTGGAATACTGGCTGCAGTAAGATCCCATGCTCTTCAGCTGGGGATTTCATCCTGAGTCCATATGATTGTATTGTATTGTCTTTATATTGGAATAAATCACAGTAGTTTGGTTTAAAGGTACTGCTGTAAACTGGGTTAGTTAGGCGTGATTTTATTTTGGCATAGTACTGTATTGCCAATTTAGTGCACCTTATATGTGGAGGTGTTTCATTAGCTTCTGTGTGTAAGCTCTCCACAGGGGGTGTCTGAGGTCTTGATGATAGTTTGCATTGAGTATTTTTAGGTATGATTTTCTGACTGTCCCCATGTCTTAAATTAGTGTAATCTAGTTTTGAGCCAAGTAGTAATCTGTATAATTTAATGTTTGTCAATCTGCTTTTCATTCATTATGGGCTACCACACACACAAGTTGGAGGACTTTACTACATTTTATTTTTAAATATTTTAGATGGGGAGTGAATGTTAATTTTTTGTCAAAGATGATGCTTAGGAACATGATGTTCCACTACTAGGATTTCTGCTCTGTCTAATTTTAAATGGGGGTTGATGTGCAATTTCCTTAATTTGCAGAAATGTAAGCATTGAATCATTGAGGAGTTGTCTTTCTATGATATGCATATTTTGTGATCTGTACATTATTAGAAAGTTGTCGATATATAATTGTGGTGAACAATCACATAGTAAGCGAGCCAGAATGGCTTGTATTT